ATTGCAAAATGATGACCTCAGTAAGTCTAGTTAATGTCAGTCATCACACAAAATTAGTTTTTGGTGATGAAAAGTTTTATGATTCATTCTCTTAGCAACTTTCAAATATACAATAGCATATTATTAGTTACAATCCTGAGCTGCGTCTACTCTATAACTGGAAGCTGGAATCTTCTGGTTCTCTTCACTCGTCATTTCCCTCAGTTTCCTATTTCTGACTACCTCCCTCATTCTGAGTTCAGTTGCTTCTTCTTCTTCTTTTTTTTTTTTTCTTTTTGGGTTACTTCTGGCTCTGCACTCAGGAACTACTCCCGGCAGTGCTCAGGGGACCATATGGGATGCTGGGAATCGAAACTGGATCAGCCGCATGAAAGGCAAATGCCCTACCCACTGTGCTATCGTTCCAGCCCCAGCTCAGTTGCTTCTTTCTGTTAGATTTCACATATAAATGCAATCACACAGGTTCAGTTTTTTTTTTGTCTGATGTAATTTGCTTACCATAATGTCCACAAGTTTCATCCTTGTTTTGAAAATGGCAGCAATTTTTCTTTTATAGTTTATTTGTGTTAGTTCTAGCAATGTTGGGGTAGTCCTCTGAGGCTTTATATATTCACGTGTCTTTGAGACAAATCGCTGGACTTATTTCTTTCTTATCACTGAAATGTGTGTGTGTGTGTGTGGTGGGGGTCCTTTCTCTACTGATGGAGACTTAGATTATCTGCATGCCTTATATTTTGAATATTGGTGCAATGAACATGCGTTGTACGTACCTTTTTAATTTCATGTTTTGTTTTGGATAAATGCCTAGAAGTAGAATTGCTGGATCCTATGGAAGTCCTACTTTAAATGTTTTGAGGTGTCGGTGTTAATAAATGTATATTACTTTTATTTTGTATAACAAAGATTAAAATGTGCTCAAACTTTCACCTAATTTTAACTATAAAATATTCCAATATTAATAATTCCAAATATTAGGGTGACCTAATCCCCAAAATGATCATTTTTTCAGTGTTGTATAACATCTCAACCCCCAACTTGGGCCAATAGTCTAAGAATTAGGTTGCAGCCAACTTTTCCTTATCAATAAAAATAGGTTCAGGTTTTGTGGGACTTGAAATTTTTATCAGCAAGAGGAGTTTTTAGAAAGATAATACAAAATAATCTTACTTTTGCCCACAGTACCGTGTGAATGCATTGTTGGGGCTTCCTGCCTGCTTCCCCAGGCTTTGGACAGGGCCTGTGAAGGGAAAGGGTCCTGCACATTCATTTCTACTGGCTTTATGGTTATCTCCCTGCAATTATAAACAATCCTGCAAACACATTTTGGACATATACTTGACTCTCCTCTGTAATTCTCCCATGGACCCCAGGCTGTTACAACTCATCACCTTGAAGGAGAGAAGTGGAATATTGTGTTGCCTTTTCTATACTGAGCACTTAGTCTTACCTAACCTCTGCCACAAGTCTGAAGGAGGTTTAATCCTCACTTCACAGGCTAGAACACTGAGGCACAGTGCATTTCAATATGTCCCAGCTCACAGGCAAGTAGGTTGCAGGGTTTAGACTAGATCTACTGCTTCTTCGAAAGCTCCAGAGCTAGAGAGACTTCCTCTCTAACTTTCCACTGCCTCCACCCTCTGTAGAGATACAAACACTAGACCAGAGTTTTTCAACCAGGGGACATATGTCCACCTGTGGGTCCTCCAGATCTTCCAAAGGGGGGCACAGGTCAGAATCATGTAAAGGGGTGCCGTGACACAGAATGGGGGTCAACGGATAGAATATAGGGAGGCTTATGAAGGAAAGGAGGCCCTGATCTAAAAGAGAAACCCTGTTCAAGTCTATAGCTGAAAACCTGTTTATTTCACGCACAAGCAGAGCTCAGGGCTGTTCCAGCACGGTTGGCCTGCGGGATCCCGCAGTGCTGGGAATGGATCCCAGGGACTCCCACATGCAAAGCATGCCCTCCAGTCCTTCCTGGCCCCCAGTTCTGTTTTGAAGAGACCCAAATCCAAAACTCCTGGAGTGCCTGTAGCGTTCTTGGAAGAAGGAAGTGTAAGTGGGTGATGGCTGGACTTTGTCTGGCCAATTGAGGAAGGCAGGTTGTGCCCTTCTAGCTGTTGATTATGTTCAGGGTCTTGGTTCATCAGAATTTTTCTTTTTTAAAGAACTGTCAGGCATACAGGCTTCAAGACTGTGAACTCCTTCACCCTGTAATCAAGTGTTTGACCAACAGGGCAAACAGGGCATTCACCACACACACACACACACACACACACACACACACACACACACACACACGGCAAGCACCATCCTACCCAGAGAGGGCAATCACCATCAGCACACACACACACAGGGCAAACATCACTAACACATACACATACACACAGGGCAGTCATCACCAACATATATACGGTCACGGTCCTCCCGTTGTTCATCGATTTGCTCGAGCGGGCCCAGTTATGTCTCCATCGTGAGACTTGTTACTGTGTTTGGCATATTGAATACATCACGGGTAGCTTTCCAGGCTTTGCCGTGCGGGTGAGATACTCTTGGTAGATTGCTGGGCTCTCTGAGAGGGGCGGAGGAATCGAACCCGGCTCAGCCGGGCTGGCTGCGCACAAGGCAAACGCCCTACTGCTGTGCTATCGCTGCAGCCCAACATATATAAATAGGTCAATAATTACCAACATACACACACACACACGGCAGTCACCATCCCACACTGAGAGAAAATCACCACTAACAAACAGACACACACACAGAGCAATCATCACCAACATATATACACAGGGCAATCATCACATACACACACACACACACACACACACAGGCCAATCACCATCCCAAACAGAGGGCAATCACCGCCAACATACACACACACAAACGTGGCAATTCATCACCAATATACACACACAGGGCAATCAGCATCATCCACAGAGGGCAATCAGCATCAACACACACACACACACACACACACACACACATGGCCATCAATCACCATCAATGCACACACACAGGGCAATCACCATGTCTCACACACACAGACACAAACACATACAGGGGAATCACCACAACCAAAACACACATAAACACACAGGACAACCACCATCACACATATAGAATACAATCACCACACACAGACACAGACACAAACACACACAGGGGAATCACAACCAAAACACACATAAACACACAGGGCAACCACCATCACACAAACAGCACATACAGAGCACAATCATCACACACACACATACACACACACACACACACACACACACACACACACACCCTGGCCTTTACCTGCAATTTACCACTCTAGTGGCAAGTGGGTGAGTCATGGAACCCCAGAGGTTCCCATTTCCCTGCTCTGGGCACTGTGGATTGGTGCAAATCACCAAATCTGTTTGACGCAGGGGCTCAAGCACGCCAAGCACTCGCCTCTCCCGGGAGCCGAGTCGCAGCCCCGGCCCCGGGGGTAGTTTTGAGTGTCAAATCTGATAATCTGTGCGCAGGCACTTGAACTCCTCAGTCCCCTGGGCCACCAGCAGCCCTGCAGAAACAGCTCCACTTCCTCCCCCGGGGGCCCCAGGTGAGCGCGGGTGACAGCCCGCCGGCGCGCACCTGCGGGCTCCTTTCGGGCTCGCGCCCGGGCGCTCCCGGGCTGCCGCGGCCACGTGACGTCAGGGCGGGGGGGGGGGGGCGCCGCGACGGAGCCCGGAGTCCCGGGGACCGCGGCGTTCCGGGGGCCCAGGCGGGCGGCTCCTTCCGAGGCGCCGACGCCTTCGGTATCGAACGCGGCTGGGCCGAGCCGGAGCCCGTCCTGGCTGACAGGACCGGCGCGTTCGCTCTGTCCTTCGCGGCTGACGCACTTAGCTTGGAATCTGACGAGCCCGTGTGGGAAACCTCTCGTTTCTGTCGGGCCAAATCCGGGGGGTGGGGGTGGGGAAGGGAGAAAGGAGGGACCTGTCCGGAGTTCTGGGGAAGCCAGACGGAATTAAAAATATTAATAAAAAATCTCCGATTTGGGAGGGCGTTCGAAACCTCCTTGACGAGACCTACTTTAAAAAAATTTTTTTTAAAGCCGGTGCCAGTGGTTTTTTAAGTATTGCATTTTCCTCACATTTAAAAAATAATCATGATTTAAAAAAAAAGACCCGACCCAGTTCCTAATCTTGAGGACCGAAGGTCTTTTTTTTAATTATGATTTTTTTAATTTCCGCGCGGCTTCCCGCCCCCCCCGTTCCCCGAGACGTGGCGCTGCAGCACCCGCCCCCCCCCCCCCCGTCCCCAGCCCCCATCGCCCAGGTGGCAGCCGGCGCGGCCCCGCAGCCCCACCTGGCCCGGCCGCCGCCGCTCGCACAAAGAGCCGAGGCGGCGGCGGCCCGGCCGAGCCGCAGAAAGTAGTCCCGACCACGCCGGCCTCGGAGCTCGACGTCGCTTCACGCCTCCGCGGGGCGGCCGCCCCGGGAAAGAATCCCATTGGAATGCGGCTCCGGGCGGCCTGGGCGCCCCCTCCCCCCTCCCCCCGCCAGCTCGTGTCGTGTGGGGAGCGGGGTGGGGGTGGGGGGCTCCCAGCCGACCGTGAGTGCAGACTCCCCCCCTCCCCCCCCGCCCCCTCCCCACTTCCCACCACCCGTTTCTATTAGGGGGTTTATTTTTTCATTTGTTTCCGAGCGGCCCCGGGGGCGGTGCCGGGGGGGGGGGGCCGGGTGGGCGGGCGCTCGGCGGCGCAGGGAGACCTCGGCGGCGCCCCGTGGCGGCGGCGGCGGCGCGGCCGTATCCCTGCGCCGCTGCGTGAGAGGAAGAGGCTGAATGAGGAGCGGCGCGGGGGAAGCGCGGCGCCGGGGGAGGAGGCGGCGGCATGGAAGCAGACGCTGGCGTCGCGCGAGCCCGGGCCACGGCGGCGGCGCGGTAGAGAGGAGGGCGGCGGCGGCGGCGGCGGCGACGCGCGCGCGCGCGGGGAGAGCCCTGACGACGTGCCCCCCTCGCGTCCCTTTCTTCTCCGGCGGCGGAGCGGGGCGGCAATGAGCGTGCAGACCTGCGGCCGCGCCGGCCGCGCCGGCTCCTCGCCCGCCCCGCTGCGGGCCGCCCGTCGCCGCTGAAGCGCCGCCAGGCGAGCCGGGGGAACATGGGGGCCGTGCTGAGGAGCCTGCTGGCCTGCAGTTTCTGCGCGCTCCTGCGAGGTGGGCAGCGCGGCGGCGGGGGCGGCCTTGGGGTGTGTGTGTGTGTGTGTGTGTGTGTGTGTGTGTGTCGGCCGGCCAGCCAGCGCGGGGGAGGGGAGGCGACAGAGACCGGGAGAGGCCCGGGGGCCGGCGGGGCGGCTGGGTGGTCTGGCTCCCCACCCCCCCACCCCTCACTCCCGGGAGGATTCTCTGGAGGGGTGTGTGTGTGTGTGTGTGTGTGTGTGTGTGTATGTGTGTGTGTGGTGTCGGGACTGGGGAACGTGTCGGCACTCCGAGACGTGTGGGGGCCCGCGGAGCCTCTCCCCCCACCCCACCCCGCACCCGCCTCAGCATTTTGAGGTGAACTTGAGAGAGTCGCGTCTCCCCTCAGCCCCCTCACGGTCCCCCCCCCCCGCTACCTCCCTCCTCCTCCCCCCACCCCCATTTGCACCCCAGGCCGGGTGAGAGGTCGCGCGTCCCCGCGTGGGGTGTCGCCGGCCCGCCGAGTGGACCCCGGAGCGTGCCCCCCTCCTCCCCCCCACCCCCGAATTCCCCCCCCCCACTCCCCCACTCCCCCAGGACCCAGGAGGCCGGCGCGGCTCTCGGGGCGGTGGCCGTGGGCCCCGCGACGCTGTCACGCACTGACAGTTCCTCGAGATCGCGACGGGGGGGGGGGGTGGGCGAGCGGCCCGCAGGAGTTTGCCAGCTCGCCGGCGGCGTGGACGTGGGCACGCGGCTGGGGGCTCCCCGCCGGGCATCGCCCCACAGGGGAGCGGACGCCCCCAGGGGCGCGCTGGTACGCAGCTTTGGGGGGGTTGGTTCATGGTCAGTTTATTAATTTCTTTTCTGTCCCCCCCCCCATCCGCAGCCCCCCTCCCTCCCGCTACTTCTTGAGCCTGTGGGACTCTCGGGCCACAGTTTTGACAAGCTCAACTTTGGTTCAACCTGGGAAACTTAACTGAGGTTTCCAGAACTTTTGCTAGGAACTCATGACAGATAGGCTAGTTCTGTGTCTGTGTATTTGTTTTGGATAAGAGTGATTTTTTTTTTTTTGCGGGAGTGTTGTTTTGTGCTTGCATTTGCAAGTTATATTTGCTGCCACTTAATAATTGCTACTCACCGTAAGCATATTCTAACGATTTCCACATGTAAACGCCAGCAAGATAGTGCACATTTAATTTTCTTGGCAGAGAGTCTAGTGCAACCGAATGTACTGGAGAGGTTTAATAAGCATACGCTTGTTTTTATTATAATATACTCCCCGACAACGAAAGGGAGTTTTGCTGGAGTCGTGAGATACTATTGTATTTGACGTAACAATATGTATTTTTTTTAGGACTCAGGTTAATAGAGTCAACTGATTGGTTAACAGTCTTTGGGCAATCTAAATTCATAACCCAGCAAGCTTCTGACAGCCCAGTTGTGCTTTGTGGAGGGAAAGGCTGTGATGCCATTTGCTGAACACCAAATTTGAGCCTGCAGTCCGTTTGTTTATTACTGCAGTTTGGAGGAGTCACACTTGTAGTAATGTTTTGAAGAACGGTATTATGCAAGGAGACCTGAGAGTTTTAAATTGCCTCACTGGCATTTTGCAAAAGTGGAGCTATTAAGTGTAGCATAATAATGATTGATATTAGGTGGTCTTTGAATTTAACAGAACTTAATTGTGTTATTTGAATAAAAACGCTCATGATGTGAAATGCTTTTACTTCTAATTTAGATTTTTTTCACTTCTTGGTAATTTCAGGTTCTTGTATAGCAGTAATATTAGTTAACTTTGGCCCCAAGGAGAAAAATGTGGTGAACTTGCTCTTTTAAAACCAGTTTTCTTCATTGAAGGATTGGACTTTTGACACTGGGAAGATGGGATGAGAGCGGTTGGGTTGACCCTCTTTCCTGTGGTCCTGTTCAATCAGTAAAACTGATGCTTTCATTATCTAGTCTCATCTCTCAGGCATATTGAAAGTTGAAGTGTAATGGAAACATTAGGATTTTCGCACTGAAATCTTGAGGTTGAGTCAAGATTTTGCTGTTAAATAACTTTGTGATTCTCATCTAGTCAGTAAATTTCTTCTAGGTCCTCTCTTATAAGATGTGGGTAATACCTCATTTGTACATTTTTAAAGCATACTAAGTGAATATAAAGTTCCTTGCAACCACTTAAAATTTTATTTTTAAATCAAATTAAAAAGTTTTTGGGTGTTTGGGCCATGCTTGGAATACTCCAGGACTATTCCAGACTCTGTGTGAGGCGGGAGTTGGGTGGAGGGGGGTTACTCCCAGTGGTTCTTGGGGCACTGGGCAGTGCTGGGCATTGAAACCAGGCCTCCTGCAAGCAAATCAGCTTCCCAGCCTGTTGCACTATCTCTTCAGTCACACTTGTTATTGGACTTACCTTCAAATACAGATGATTTGCGAGTTGTTTTTTTTGAGGGAGGGGCACAACTGGCCATGCTTAGGGATCATTCCTGGCTCTTTGCTTAGGGACCATGTGCAACACTGGGAATCTAACCCGGTCAGCTGCACGTAAGGCACTCTCTCCAGCCTGGGATTCATGAATTCTTTTTATTTTGTTTTGGGCCACACCCAGCGTGCTCAGGGTATACTCCTGACTTAGGACTCTCCTGGTAGTGCTTGGGGGACCATATGGGATGCTGGGGGTTGAACCCAGGCCAGCTGCCATGTGCTAGGGGATCGGCTTACCTGCTGCACTATCACTCAACCCTATCATGAATACTTAAAGGTAAATCAGATCTTGATCATTTGCAAGTGGGAAAACTCAGATTCAGGGAGATTTAAGTTGATTAAGATCCTACAGCTTGGGGCAGAGCGATAGGGCAGAGGTTAAGGCATTTGCCTTGCATGTGGTGGTGACTGCAACACAGGTTCAAATTCCAGCACCACATATGGTCCTCTGAGCACAGCCAGGAGTGGCCCCCACATACCACACCAGGTGGGGTCTATAAAAGAGAGAGAGAGAGAGAGAGAGAGAGAGAGAGAGAGAGAGAGAGAGAGAGAGAGAGAGATTTACAGTCTACAGCTAGTGGTTGAGCAGAGATTTGTTAATTGTTCTAGCAAATACGTGCAGTATGCGTACTGCGTTTCAGTCACTGTTCAGGTAGTGGTGAGTATAACCTAGCCCTTCCTCCCCAGATTTCACAGGGATTGGGGAGATGGCCCAGAGGACCGGAGTACATATTTTGCTATGGGAAACCTGGATTTGAGCCCCAGCGCTATACAATTCCCTGGCACCACTGGGGCCTTGAGTACCACGAACTGGGTAGTAGGCCCCAGCACTGCCTGATGAGATTCAGAACTTGAAAAGAAAAAGACATCACCGTTTATGTTGCCATCTTCATCATTCAGTTAGTTCTATTTAGGATACTAGTAAGAGAAGACATTTCTAATTTTCTAGGGAAAATGTTTCTGTGAGAATGTAAATTTTGGGATACCATTAGTGCCTATAGTCTGTAAATTCTGTGTCCTAGTTTATTTTGAAGAGTTATTTGTTTGTTTTGGGGCCACCTCCAGCTATGCTCAGGGATTACTCCTGGTTCTTTGCTCAGGGATAACTTAAGGTGGTGCTTGGGGAACCGTATGGGGTGCCTGGGACTGAACCAGGGTTAACCTCGTGCAAGGCAGGCATCCTACCAGTTGTACTGTCTCTCTGGGCCAAGAGGTTTTTTGCTTGATAAAAAATTCTTTGTGGGGCTGGGAGTGTAGTAGGGTAGGACACTTGCTTTGCATGTGTTCCATTTCTAGCCATGGGGGAAATGTTCTTCGCAACTTACTTTTGTGAGACTGTTCCACTAGTGTTTCTTATTGTACATATTTTAAAGAAGCAACCCTTTGAGTAATTTTTAATATCAGGTATAGTGAAGTCTTGGGGAAGATTTATAGTGCGTATGAATATTTTAAGGACTAACAGTGAAAGTCAAAAGGTTTGAGAGACCAAAGACTATTTCCCAAACTTGCCAATGATTCTTTTGTAAATCCTTTTAACATACAGTTGAATGTTCTCGTTCCAGACAACACCCTTGGAGAGAACCTGAGCTACACAATATTTTTTTAATTCTTTTTATGCGCTGGTGTGTGTGAAAGGTTTTGCCTACACCTGGAGGAGTTCCGGTGCTACTCATGGCTCTGGCTCAGTGCTTAGAAACCTCTGCTTGTGGTGCTTAGGGAACCATGTTGTGCCAGAGATAGGACCTGGACCTATTACATGCAGAGGGTGAGCAGCAGTTCATTGAACCAACTCTAGTCCTGGACCAGATAACACAGTGTGTGTGTGTGTGTGTGTGTGTGTGTGTGTGTGTGTGTGTGTGAGGTTGGTTGGTCTATGTTTATTTCAGTTGGATCAGGTGGTTTCATTATTACTACTTGGCTTTAGGTTGGCTCATCCAATTAGGGAATAAATAAGAGTTCATTGAATTTCAGTTCACTGTATTTCCCATAGATCAGTGCTTTAGAGTTTTTTGGTATATGTATGTATGTGCGCATGCATGTGTGTGTGTGTGTGTGTGTGTGTGAGAGAGAGAGAGAGAGAGATACATAGCTGTGTTTTGGTTCACTCCTGGCTCTACTTCAGCTATCACTCCTGGTGTGTCTCAGGGTATCAAATGGAGTGCTAGGGAATTGAACCTGGTTTGACCATCTGCATGGCAAGCTGTACTATCTCTCTGGACCTAAGCTTTTGTTTTGTTTTGTTTTAATTAGAGAGCTTTCAAATTGCTATACTACTTCCAGTTATATATGCTCAATTTTTATGTGCAATTATAATTCAAACATGTTAGAAAAACAACACAGGCTATATAGTTTTGTTTAGGTCATGAGTAACTACTGAGAAAATTTATTTTCTTCGTCATATTATTAAACTTTCACTCAGATTATAAGGAGAGTCACTCACTGTAGCAGAAGACTATGGCCTTTGTTGACAAATAAGTTCAGATTTTCTTTCACTTTAATTTCCTCTCCTCCATGGGGTAATCTCCCATAAGATACCTATGACAATTGATGAGGTA